AGGGCATGATGTAACATATCTTTGCATAGATACAACTGTACGTTTTACCTCCTTTCTTTCTCCCTCCCCCTTCACCAGGATCTCTGTTTCTGCCCCCTTGCTCCAACCCTCTGGCCTGTGGGTAACACTGCCGCTCAAGTGGGCTCTGGGGGAAAGGGACAGGAGGGACAGATGTTACCAGGGCTGGCAGTCGTTGGGAGATGTGAACAAGAAGAGGCAGCATGTGCATCTGCTTGTCACACTGAAGATCAGCAAGCTGACTTTCTTAACCCCTCTAGTTCCATAAGATCAGAATAAGACTTCAAAATAGTCCCTGATGTTCCTTGTAAAATAGGAGAGTGTGGCTATAGTAGAACTGACAAAGTTCTGAAGAACTGACAAAGGTGTGTCATGATTTCTTGTGGCCTATAAGAAACTGCCAAGTATTTTTTTGCAGAGCAAGCTTAATAGTGGGTTTGTAATGTTTTGAAGCAAACTTCACCTGTACCATCCACTCTTCTTACTTGGTTTGTTCTTTGTCAATGCGCCACATGTGGATGAAAGCATCTAGCAATACATTTTGTCTGCACTGCAGCTCGTACTTTCAACATCTTTTAAACTTGGCAAACAAAAGCATTATTAACAACCAAGAGAAGCAACTCCAGCGAACTTTGCCTGCAAATGTGCCATTTTTCTGCATCATTTGCATGGGTTTTTTTGAATTGTTATTAGTTATTCCAGTGTGCCTTGTTGTATCTCCTCCTCTTTATATTGTCTTTATATTGATATAAATGAAAATAGTTTGCATTATTATTGTAGTTTATGCTTTCATCTCCCCACACTGTTTTCGCAATTACCTTATAGTAAGCCAACTATCTACAATCGTCCTATGTACTTCAAAGCTCTGTTTTGACAGTAGGCATCAGACCTATCCATTTTTCTCTCTCTGTGCTTCCACAAAGTTCCACTTTGTCAACAATTTTAAATAAAGGATAGGAGTAAAGTCTGTAAAATGACTTCGTAATTCAGAATACTGTCATAATAGTAGTTTCCAAAACTAGAATAAAGAGGCGACTCTTAAAATACATATTATTAATGCTGCAGAATGTTTACAAAAGCTGGAAGCAATGTTTTTTTAAGGAGAGTAAAAATAAAAATTGCAGTTCTCCTGTGACAAAACCCTTGTATACTACTTTTCTCAAGCCGCTAATTATCAAAGAGGATGGAAACTGAAATCGCGGTTGTGGATGGGAGGCTGACAAAAGGTCTGTGTAACATTGCTAATCCCTCCCCTCATGTTCTTCATGACTTATTTAATGGTTTTATTTACATCCTCTGTCAGAGACATATACCTGCATGCAGTGCCATGCATAGCTGGAAAATATGTTGCATTTTCTCTATCTGACAGAAGTCACCTAGTCCAAGACACGAGACTCTCATCCTATGAATTTCAGGTACGCTATTTAAAATTGTTCATTTTTTTTTTCTCTCAGGATTCTCACCCTGAATATTCTATAATGTAAGAGGAAATCACACTACTGCAGTCCTATAAACAGTACACCATAATAAAGTCAGGAATAGGGCAACAATTTGGGTTTTGAACTTTAATCAGTTTTACATCGTGGCTGAAACACTTTAAGTCACGTTCTGCGCTCCCCTATGCATACAATAGTTTGAATACGAATTCCCCATGCATGCTATTTATGTTCTGTATGAAATGGCTCCCAAACCTTGCTCTAATATCGATGTTGCTGTGTCACCACCTCGTGGCGAAGCTGCTTTACAGGACTTAAATATAGGCATAGACAAAGCTGAAGTTTCTCCATGTGTGTTTAACTAGACATTTTTGACCTGACTTTTTTACAAAAATGAAGCTATTCAGATTATGTATCTGAAAATAGAAGATGGTTAACTTCCATTATGTTAGGAAAGCTGCTTCCAAGTAATCAGTATGTCTGCAGTGCAACAGAAAAGAAGGTAAGTAACATTCCCATGTAGAATAAAAGTGGATATCATGTATGTGGGAGAAGACGACTTATTCCTGGCTTAGATATATGTATGTAAAAATTCACAAATTTAAATGTGAGTCCAGCACTTGGACCAAAGTGTACAATTCAGTATAAGCCCCAAATCCTCTTATCCTGTGTGTTTAGGAGAAATGAGAGCCAGACTTTATAATTGTAAGAAAAAGTGGCTTTAGACCTTGCTGAATTGTATGTCAGACATCTTGTCTGGGGTTTGGCTGACATGTCAGTTAAATATTTTAAGGAGAACTGAAGTTTGGTGTTCTTCTTCCTGAGTCAGTGGGTTTAAAATTCAGAGTTCAGTTTCTCCTTTTATCATAGTTTGTAAAATAGAAGTGACATATTTTTTGGGTTATACAACTGAATATTTATAAATAGAGATTTTTCTTAGTTGGAAAATAAAGTGAAATAGGCACGCATATATATATATAGTTACCCATCATTTGCCTAGTTTTGTTACTAATCTGTGACTAGAAATCTGAGGTAATAATGTAATCCCAAACTTTCCTTTCGTTTGATGTTATAATGTCATAAACAGTGTGGACTACATTATTTTACTTGCTATCATGATTCATTGATCAAAACTTCTGCCTAATTTAGGCCACTTGACCCTTTTACTAAGCATCCCTTCAGTGCTATGTTAGTGTACCTTGCTTGCTGCCATGTAAGAGATCATTTCCCTTTCAGTGCCGTATCAGCATATAGCCCCAGCTCTGCAAAGAGAAACAAGTCAGAAGCTCATCTTTTTAGGAAAAATCAACATACCTCTTGTACTCCAGTGTAATTATATGTGTAATTTTCAAGTAAATAATTTCCAGAATTCAAATTCATTTTCCTCCAACGATTATCTCCTTGGGCTGTGTAAGTAAACCAGTTACTCTTGCTAGAAAGATCTGCATTGCAGTTCTTGGTGCAAGTGGGATGGGAACTCATGCCCATATAAAAACCATTACTGTACACTTTCGTGTTATAGACTGAATACGTAAAAATAACATACAGCAAATTTTTTTTAAATGCTTTTAAAAAAATCCAACTTTTGGTTTCCTGCGTTCCTGAAAGTTTGTGAAATAATTCTAAGGAATCTGCAAAATACTTATGAGGAAAAATAAGCCTATTTTGGTAGGGTTAAATTTGCTATATAAGGATCGACATCTGTTTTGAAAAATGTGCGGTGTTAAGCAAATTAAAAAGCAGTACTCTAATTTTAAGACCATGTTGTTGTCACTTACGGGAACAAAACTCCAAAGTAACCCCTGAGCCAGGAGTCTTGAAAGCCTGTGGACACCAGGACTGTTGTACATGTACATCAATATTGCCAGTGGCTCACAAAAATACAAACATATGTTCATAACTTTAAAATCTTCATAGCTGTCCTTGTATCAGGAAATGACAGACATGAACAAGTTCAGATCCTAAAACATAATGGTGCCTTATTAGTAAGAAAGAACATTAAATCGTAGGTAATAAAATACAGTACAGCAAAGGTAGGTTATGCGTGTGTCCTCAGCTGAGAAGGTAGACAAAAGCAATCTGCTAACCAGCTTTCAACTAAGAAAAGTCCAAGTGTTCATGATGGCTTTTAACTTCTACAGTATGTGCCAATAAAAATGACTAAGCAATCTGTTGTCGAGCAAGGATAATATTAACATGGAAGTTTTTAATCACTACAGGTATTTTTGCAAGTGATGATAGATGATTTTATTTTTTAAGTCTTATGTTCACTACAAAAAAAATAAAATTTTGTATCTTGTTATTCCTAATATTAAAGCACATATTTAAATGTTACTCTCAAACACTAAATTCATATAGGGTAAAGTTTAAACAGCAAAAATATGAGTTGGCAGTTGGATCTGACATTCTATGTGTATGTCCCTATTGCTGCACACCGACCCTTGTACATTCATTTTTTTCATAATGTAATTTCTGATTTATCCTGTAACGTGATCCACTAATGAGAAAATGTTACTATTAATGCAGTGATGCAGTGGACATTTAATGGATTATGTATCCCAGTAAAATGACTGTGGGATTTTTTTATGGCTTACTTGCATTCAGTGTCATCAAAAGTGTGTGTACTGAGCAGTGAGTTATGTGAAAGATAACTTTGTAAAACTGGTGCAGCATTTACTTCATATTCTGAATATTTACATCATGGTGCATCCGTGCTTTGTACCAGTTTGATTTGACATTGACTGACCTGAGCTGTGTATGTTTTTCCTTTCATTTGTTGTTTCATAAACATGTCTCTTGTAGATGTTTTGTCTACTCCAAAAAGGTATACGATGTGATCATTTAAACTGGATATTGTCTAAACTGATCAGCCCCAAATTAGATACGTATGCTTTCTCATGTTTTTCAGCAAATTCTTCAGTACAATTTTTAGAATTTTATTAAAAGGACTGAACAGTCATAAGCTAACCTTCAGAAACACTTCTTTCAATATAAAAGAAAAAGAAATCAGTAAGGAAATGAATGTTAACATCAAGACTTCAAGATCTTTTTTTTTTCTAAGTTGGGTAATGGTCTCTTATGGATCATCATAGTTTGCAGAACAAGATGAAAAATAGAAAATGCACAAGGATTATATGCATGAAATTAAACGTATTAGTATGTTTGGCCATCCTGTGGCAATGAAAAGTACTGTGGTATTTATTTTTTTTAAAGAAAAAATAATATTAGAAACAAGTTTGGGGTTAATTTAGATGACAACCATGCCTTGAACTCATTGTTTTCATATGGCAAATGAATAAGCAGTAATTGCTTCTGTAATTGCTTGTATTGACTGAGAACTGCTACTACTGAGCAGAATTTTTTTGATTTAAAAAGATCAAATCAGCCCAATGCAAAATACGTGGAAACAAGCAGCAGTTTCTGTAGCAGAGCAGCAGCCATTGGATCACTGGAGGCTATAGCTTTCCATATGATGTTTTCAAGCAGTTTCAACTTTCACATGAGTTATAACCAAAGTTGTTGGGTATTTTTGTTTGTTTTACTCAGCTGGAAAGTCATCAATTCCAGGCAAGACTACAGACCCAGGATAAATCAGTGCATTTCAGAAACACTGATGAATTTATTTGTATTTCTTCAAGAAATGTCGCACTTCAAGGAACAAAACCCTGGCAAGGTAAGAATTCCCAAGTAAGATTAACAGTTCGATATTGTTTAATAAAAAGGTGAGATAGATTTTTAAAAAAAAAAAAAAGCAAGCAAGCAAAAAAATGAAAAATAAAATACACATTATGATGCATTCAGTTATGAGTTTCTGCTAACTTTTTCCAGTGCAGAACACAGGTAGGTCACCAGTGAGCAAAGCTGCTCACAGTAAAGTTTACAGAGGTACAGTCCTTCCCCTCACAGCTGTTGGAACCTCACCAGTCCTTCCATGGAAAGGAAATGTAAACCATCACAATTTAATAAAAACTTGAAAAGGCAGAAAAAGTATACAGTTATCCAGTCGTAAACATACATGTTTTTTCCAAGTAATTGTAGTTTTCAGAAACAGCTGCACAAGTACAGATAGAAGAGAATCCTTCATATTTTTTGGTGATAATTTTTATTCTATACAGATATAGTTGTTTGTGGGGTCTTTTTTTTACTGGAAAGACTGAGCTGGAGGACCCAGTCCAAGAAGAGACAAGCAAGAGTAATGTTTCTTCTTTCCTAATAGGAAGATTATTATGTAGTTCTAGCCAAAAGTGACGCAGCTTTCTTTTCCAAATAAAAATATAAATAACGTAGAAGTATATCATGGCAATAGTAGATTTCATTTTTATATATGTATTGCTAAATATAAAAATTTAAAAGAGGATTAGGAGGTTTTTTCCTCTCTTTTGATCTCAGTTAACTTTGCCACACAATTTTTCATGAAAACAGGCCCTTCAGAATTCGCAAAATTGAAGTATGTAGTACCACACTCCAATATTAGGAGTTCAGACTGAAAATACAGATGAGCAACAGGATGAAATACATTTCAAAGATGAATAAATTATACAAAAAGAAGTTATATGTTTAGGATAATAAAGTTATGTTTAAAAGAAGTAGGTGTATATTGAGGTAAGGAAATGCAGTGTCAGTATAAACAATCCCATAATTTTGTCATGTAGTAACATGACACAGTAACTGTATGTTAAGATACATCTAATACTTATTTAGAAAAGCTAATTTAGACAGGATGTTTTCCTTTCTTTTTCCTGACCTCATTCTCTAAGCCATGTCAGTATTTTACTGCTATAATTACAAGCAGATGAGGCACTGATGCTGTGTGCAAATTTTCTTGGAATTAACCGTTCTATTCCAATTCAACTCCAAAAGCAAATAGATTCTTTCTGTAAACTTCCAACAGATCAATTCTGTTCTCAGCATTGTGAAACATGCACTATATGTCTCAGTCACAGCAGAGGCTGAGACTCAAGTTCTATACTGAAAATTCAGCTCAGTCTTCTTGTTATGGGGATGCTAGAGTAGCCAGCAAGCATCAAGAGAATGCTTGCCAGCATATGAGAGAAGACAGTTTCATGAAGCAACACAACAGGGGAGACAACTGTACTCATCGTAAGGATTTTTTTGCTTTCGTAAGCATGCAGCAAGTATGCATTGTAATATTTCAATTAGTGATTTGGGTTTTTTCTCGTGCATATCAACTGTTTAGCCTTTTTTTGTGTGTGTAGTGAACGTGAAGTAATTTCTAGTAATTTTAGCAATAACCATGAGCTTGTTAAACCTTTACATTAAATGAATAACAATAGCTTATTTTTATAATGGAAGAGGGAGTACACCCAAATTAGCCAAAATGGACTGTTTGATGCTTATTTGCACTGCATGTGTTAAAGTATTTCTTAATTTCAGAAAAAAAACAACTTCCATTTTCCGCTGCATTATAGATTCATTTAGCGTGCAACATTTTTCTTTTGCAACATGATCTAAATATTTAAACAGTGGAAGTGTTAATGGCCAATTTTAATGTTTTTGCCAGTTTTGCCTACTGGTCTGCAGTGTATGTACGTTTTTCACTGTCTTGGGAAGTTACATTCCTGGAGTTGTCCTCTCCTATGTCCTGTGTAAGTATAGGCTCTTTTTCAATCATGATTTATGTATGTGATTTGTGCGCTATTTGGTCTCTGTATAGGGAGTTGTTTTGGGTTTTTTAATATATATACATACATGTGTGTATATATACACACACATATTATAGATACATATGTAGGTTCTGACAAGTGCTTTTTGTCATATGGAAGTCAGCTTTCAAGTTTTTTTCAGCTCGTTGATTCTGGCATAACGTTGCATAGTTGCGTTTCTCAGGTAGAGATATCAAAATGAGACTAAATCAAGATAATGGTAAGTGTTATATAGGAGTTATCAGGGCTCATTGAAAGAGCTTTAAACTAGGTTTGAAGGTGGCAAGGGATAAAACCAGGTTCGCTAGAGATAAGCCTGAGGGCAGCATGCCAATGTTTGTGGGACAGTGTGCTAGCAAGGTTCTTTGGCCTGCCATCTCAGTGGAGGTAGGGGATGGAGCTCCATGCAGCAGTAAAGACGCAAGGGTTATTGATGTGTTAGAAACCGTATGGAAGCACCTCAGAATGGTCACGGAGGAATTAGGGCTTCTCCCCGCAAAAAGGTGGTGGGATCAATAGCCCAACTAAAATGCATCTACACCAATGGACGCAGCATGGGCAACAAACAGGAGGAGCTGGAAGACATTGTGCAGTGGGAAAACTATGGTATACTTGCCATCATGAAAACATGGTGGGGTGACTCGCACACCTGGAGTGCTGCAGTGGATGGCTACACACTCTTCAGAAGGGAGGAGGGGCAGTGGGGTAGCCCTGTATGCTAGGGAGTATTTTGACTGTCTAGAGTTTGACGATGGTGATGTAAGGGTTGAGTGTTTATGGGTAAAAATAAGGGGGAAGGCCAGCAAGGCAGATATCATGGTGGGAATCTGTTATAGACCACCCAACCAGGATGAAGAGGCAGACATAATATTCTATAAGCAGCTGGGAAAGTCTCACGATCACTAGCCCTTGTTCTCGTGGGGGACTTCAACTTACCAGATGTCTGCTGGAAATACAGTACAGCAGAGAGGAAACAGTCCAGGAGGTTCCTGGAGTGTGTGCAAGAGAACATCCTGACACAGCTGGTGAGTGAGCCAACTAGGGAAGGTGCCCGCTGGACCTGTTCTTTGCAAACAGAGAAGGACTTGTGGGTGATGCGACAGTTGGAGGTCATCTTAAGCACAGCAATCACGAAATGATAAGAGTTTTCGATTCTTGGAGAAGTAAGGAGGGGGGTCAGCAGAACTGCCACCTTGGACTTCTGGAGAGCAGACTTTGGCCTGTTTAGAAGCCTGGTTGACAGAGTCCCTTGTGAGGCAGTCCTGAAGGGCAAAGGAGTCCAGGAAGGCTGGACATCCTTTAAGAAGGAAATCTTAAAGGCGCAGGAACAGACCGTCCCCATGTGCCGAAAGACGAAACAGCAGAGAAGAAGACACAGGAACAGACCGTCCCCACGTGCCGAAAGACGAAACAGCAGAGAAGAAGACCAGCCTGGCTGAGCATGTCCAAAGCAAAGCAACAAAGCTGGCGAAGGGTCTAGAGCAAAAGTCTTACGAGGGGCAGCTGAGGGAACTGGGAAAGGGTCTAGAGCAAAAGTCTTATGAGGGGAAGCTGAGGGAACTGGGGTGGTTTAGCCTGGAGAAAAGGAGGCTGAGGGGAGACGTTATTGCTCTCTACAACTACCTGAAAGGAGGTTGTAGCCAGGTGGGTGTTGGTCTCTTCTCCCAAGTAACAAGCGATAGGACAAGAGGAAATGGCCTCAAGCTGTGCCAGGGGAGGTTTAGATTGGATGTTAGGAAAAATTTCTTCACTGAAAGGGTTATCAATCATTGGAACAGGCTGCCCAAGGAAGTGGTTGAGTCACCATCCCTGGAGGTATTTAAAAGATGTGTAGATGTGGTGCTTAGGGACATGGTTTGGTGGTGGACTTGGCAGTGCTAGGTTAACAGTTGGACTTGATGATCTTAAAGGTCTTTTCCAACCAAAACAATCCTATGATTCTGTGATCATAAATTGTGCCTTACAGGAAGTAAAAAAGGTGTCAGTTGATATGAATACAATGGTATTTTCTGTGACGAGTAGGAATGGCTCCTGCAAACTGGATTTGACATTAACGGTTTGTCTGACATGGGCATTTCACAGTGCTTTTTTATGTAAAACCAATTGCATTATGTAAAATTAGTAATCTTTCACAGAATTGTTTATTCTTTATTAACTTCTTATAAAGCAATATTTCAATACAATTTCTCTCTCTGTCTTCATTTTTATCACAGTATTGTGTGCCTTTTTATGTCCCTTCCTTAAGTGCAATGAATTTGGACAGAAAGTATGCAACAAAATTAAGACTGTTCTGATGAAACTAGATTTTGGAATAGTAGAATATATCAACCAGAAGAAAAAAGAGAGATCTGGTGAGTAATAAAGTATAGTCCCAAGTAATGTATTTCTGTATGCAGAGAAAATTTTATTCACCTTGCAGACAGTTTGGTTTGTCTTGTGAAGCCAAGTGTAAAGTTATTTCTTGCTTTGAACCTGACTACTATTCTTAGCTTTATAACAAGTGATAATGTATGTCAGATGTCTGGGTATGGTAAAAAAAAAAAAAATTCATGGAAGGTAACAATGCAAGACTGATGGTTCTCTTCATACTTGACTAGATGTACTGCTTGTAGGTTTTCAGAAAAAATCCTAGTTGCTATAAAGTATGCAATGCTTATCTCTATCTAGATAAGGCAAACTTAACCAGGAGACTCATTCAAGAACACAAAATGAGTACATAACAGAATTTCCAGTTAGAGACTGAGCTCTGTTCCAGCATCTAAATCCACCTTGTTTTCACTCCCAACAGCAACAAGAATTTTTCTTCCCCAAATATTCAATAAGCATTTAAGAATTGCAGTAGGATAGTAGCTACAAATTAATAAAAGTTTTTAGTTAGAAAGTGGAGAAATCATTTTAAAATGAAATGTCACCTATCTCACCTGAAAACATTTATAACATTGGAAATGTTTAGATTTTAAGTAATAAAGCTATTTCAAGAAAATTGGTTAGATGAACAATGTTATCTCTAGCTTGCTTTTTGGGTGTGCTGCAGGTTTGGTAATTAAACTTTTGTCATGTAGCCACATGACTTGCAGGTAGCCTACCTCTTAGTATAACATCAGTAGATTTCGTATCTGCTTTAAAACGTGCATTTCTTACAACAGTACATCATACAATGTGCTGTTCCTAGACTCAATGAGAGGAACCATTTGCCTTTTTCCCTTCTCCTACATATAATGCAGTAGTTGTTGGAAACAAGGAATAATGCATTGAATTTTTTTTTCATGTATTATTCTACCTTGTTGTAATTTTAAGTGAAACTGGCAGAAAGATCAGACTATTGTTTCACAAATTTCATAAGCCAGAGCTGGAAAAATGGTTGAGGTTAGATTCATTCTTTCCTGTTTCTCAGCCTCCAGTTTAATTTAACCCAGACAAGTTCCCTGCCTTGCTTCGCCACTTGGGTTTACCACATGGGTTCACAAACCCTTGTACTGGCACGAGGAAATAGCAAATTGCAAGGATAGGCAGCCAAGAATATGACCAATGTGGTGGTTTTCAGCTGACATTGGTTTAAAATATTCAGGAGCCTATTCTCATACAGAGAGAGGCGAGGAAGCAAAATTTGTGTCTCCATTCATCTGTTAGGAGCAGCATTCTACCAGACTTCAGAGGATGCTTTGTACGCATACTTGCGTATAAATATTGTGAATGCAGGGGATGGGGTGCAAAGAAGAAGACAGGTTTTGTGAATGAAGATTACACGCAATTATCCAGAAAATTGCATGTTCTCATGGAAAAGCAATGTGCTGGGGTAACTACACTGCCTGTTTTAACAGTATGTTACAACTGTGCATTGTACCAGCTGTGTAGTTTAAAAGACAGATATATATTGCCAGGGAACATTATACAACAACAGAGACTTCTGAAACTAAGTAAATAAATGTGTTGGAATGTATTTCAGAGCAACAATCTCTCTCCTGCTTGGGGTGCTGCATGATATATTTTGATAAATACCTAGCCTCTCAATCAGTCTTTTTTCCCTCACCTTAGTAGCTTACTACATAAATGAAGCACTGTGTCAACAAGTGAAAGTTTACTGTACTGCGCAAGTTGTGTGACAGGGAACGCACACTGAACCTCAAAGTCTGTTGTCATGAGTAAGGTAATTTTTTTTTCTTTTCTTTCAGAAACAGCAAAAACAAAACCCACAGAAGATGACAGTGAATTAGACATATCAGCCCTGTGTCCTAAGGTGACTTTGTTTCCATCAGCCCTATCTTGCTTTTAAAATCTATATAGATAATGGAGACTATCATCTAGGCTACTGTCTCTGTTTTCTGTGGAAGACGTTAACCTGCCCAGGAGGCTGTGTTCCTGAACTAAGCAGTATGCTTTAAAAGCCATTCCCAGTCTCCATCTTTAGGCTTATACTAATTAACTTAGTGCATTCATGACTTCTGACCTTCAAGGTAATGGTTTCTTTGGCCTACTAAACTAAGAATGTATTTGTTTTGTAATGGCTGTGGAATGATTAAACTAGAATTTAATAGCCAAGGCAGCTATTTTTATTTACAACAGTGAAATTGCAGTTAATTTTTATCAAATTAAAATATAAAAGGGAAACAATTGTAGAAAACTTGTGTAATTTGTCAGATACTTGTGTAATCACTTGTCTGATTTTTTACTACAGTGTAAATCAGTATATTATCTATAAATATCTTTCTAGATATGTATGAGAACACTCTAATATCTCCTTTCTCTCTTAATATTCTAGATAACTCTATGGCAAAGGATTTTCCATTGTAATCAAAACACTGGTTGATATAAAAACCCCCTCGTTTTCTAGGAATTCTTATGCAGTATTTGATCAGTAGTGTATTGAGCCTGACTTTGACACTGATCAGTTTGAAGGTGTTTTTGTATTCTGAAAAAAAATAAAGGTATATCCCATGGAATAAAAATGTGTATCCGATGTAATTGGATATTGTTGGATAAATTCATAAAGGATAATGATTATTTAGCTAATTTTTGACTGCTTACAGATAATGGGTTGGGTTTTTTTCACTGAAGTTTATGCATTTCTTTACATTTATGCATATTTTGTATTTGCAGGCTCATTCTTATTTCATTACAGTAGGATATTACTTTCAGAATGAATAATTGGAATTTTCTATGCTTCTTTAGTATAATACAGCTTTCGGTTATTACAAAGAGGGATGCTGCAGTTCTCCTATATTTTCACGTTTCTACCATTAAAGTTTAAATAGGAGACAATTTATATTGCTATGACATGCAAGAGGTTTCTTGTTCAGTATCTAAGCATTGGCTTTCTGTAGCGTGAATTTTTTGAGTATAAGAATACCATGTGTGGGACTTTTTTATGTTTAGGTTAGTCCTGCAGTTGTTGCCAAAGAGCTGTCAGTGTCTGACACAGATGTATCAGAAGTATCTTGGACCGATAACGGGACCTTTAACTTATCCGAAGGGTATTCTCCACAGACAGACACATCTGATGGTATGTAATGGCTTCATCTATTTCATCAATGAATTGCAGTCATGCAAGTTACCTGAAAATGACAGAGAATTTGAGGACAGAATTTTTTGGGTCAGTTTTTTCCCCCTCTACAATGAATTCAAAATTAATTCCAGGGATTTATGTAATTTTGGATACATCTTGTGTAAGAGCTGTCCTCATCCTAAAAATAATAAAGTCCCTCAGTAAGTGTCTAAATAAATAAGTAGTGGTGGGTGAAACGGACACATTCCATAAGTGCCAGATTTAGCTCTCTCTTCCGCCAAACCTTTTAAGCAACTAAACCTTTTAAGTTAGTACCAATGCTTTTGTGGAGCTATACAAATAAAAGCTGAGGAAGAAAAAGTAATACTTTGAATTGCTAAACAGCCAATTAAAGAAAGTATTATTAGGTTTTGGTTACTAAAATGCTGATGAAGACAGCCAGCAATGAGCCTAAATGAGGAAAAGATTCTCAAGCACTTGTCTTGATCTTGACCAGATTTTTAAGTTCTTATTTTTTACAGACCAAGCTTTCAGTTAGCACTTTGCCTGACTAAAGATTAAGGACAACATTAGTTTGGTGTAAGCTTATCTGTGGATTTGTTGCTCTGCTCATCTTGCATTTCTCCTCTTCTAGGAAAAGTTCACTGTAAATGACAAGCAGGGTGATATTACTTAACAACATTATACAGGCCAAATGAATAATTTATTTTGTTAATATTTCAAGTTGCAAATAGACAGCATTGTACGATCACAGAATCGTAACCTGGAATGAGCCATTGTCGTTCACCTGATCTAATCTCCTATTCAAAGCAAGTTCAACTTGATCAAGTTGCTTGGGGCTGTGACCAATTAATTTTGAGCATCTCCAATGGCAAGAGATTCAGCAACCCTGGACCGCCATTTTCAATACTTGATCACCCTCATGACAAAAAAGTTTTTTCTTATAGTGAGTCAAAATTTCCCATGCTCCAGCTTGTGTCGCTTTACTCTCATCCTTCCACTGCGCACCTTTAAGAAGAGTCAGGCCTCATCTTCTCCATTCTGTCGTTCATCTGATCTAACCTCCTATTCAAAGCAAGTTCAACTTGATTGGCTGTGACCAATTAATTTTGAGCATCTCCAATGGCAAGAGATTCAGCAACCCTGGACCGCCATTTTCAATACTTGATCACCCTCATGACAAAAAAGTTTTTTCTTATAGTGAGTCAAAATTTCCCATGCTCCAGCTTGTGTCGCTTTACTCTCATCCTTCCACTGCGCACCTTTAAGAAGAGTCAGGCCTCATCTTCTCCATTCCTTCCTGTCAGGTAGTTAAAGACAACTATGTGGTCCCCCCTTTGCCACCTTCTCTTAAGGCTGAACAGAGCCCATTCTCTCAGCATCTCCTGATATGTCATGGTGTCCAGCCCCCTAATAATCAAGCTGACCCTCCAGGGGACTCATTCCAATCTGTCATCATCTGTCTTGCACTGGAGAGGTCAAAACTGGACCAAGTACTCCAAGTGTGTGTGCTCAGGTGCTGAGTAGAGGGGGAAAATGCCTTCCATTGACTTTCTGGCTTTGTTTTTGCTAGTACAGCTCAGAATGTGGTTGGCCTTCCTTGCTGCAAGGGTACACTGCTGACTTGCTCTCCACAGGTATTTTTCTTGAAAGCTGCTTTCTGTCTCGTTGTCCCCAACCTGTACTGCTGAACAGGTTATTCCATTCCAGATGCAGGACTTCACATTTGTTGTTGCTGAATTTCATTATGTTCCTTTTCAGCCTGTTCATTTCTGCAGCCTGTTGAGGTCTCTCTGAGGGCGACCTGCCCTCCAGAATACCAAATACACCTGCCCCACAGCAGTTCCTTTTCTGCCCGTGAACTTGCTGAGAGTGCACTCCATCCTGTCATCCAACTCATTAATAAAAACATTGAACAGTGTTGGCTTCAGAGGTACACCACTCGTACCTGGCCTCTGGTTGGACCTTGTATCACTGATCACAGCTCTTGGAGCCTGGCAGTCCAGCCAATTTTCCACCCACCTTACAGTTCACTTACCCAGTTCGCTCACCAATTTGGCTGTAAGGATAATGTGAAAAACTGCATTAAAGGCCTTGCTAAGTGAAAAATAAACAACATCCACTCTTCTGCCCCCACGGAGCATTTCAGCAAATGGGACATACACACAAGTGCAACACCAGATGGGATGCATCCAAGGACTGGCTCATCTCCTCTCAAAGCTCTGCGCCTTTGAGCCACCACTCTGCATACAGTACAGCCCTTCCTCCTCACCTTCCCAGCCTATTTTTCCTAAAGAAAATGGAGAAAATGATGTACCAGACATTTAGGATTCATTTCCTTAGCCCTTATGAATGCTCCTCTTGCTTGTTTTCATAGAAAGTAAGTTCAAACTGATTATTTTTTACCTTCTCATTCAAATACTAGATCAGAATATTCCCTTATGCTCATTTAGGTCTCTTCCACAGGCCATGTACAGTATATTTTACACATTTATATAAACAAGTATCATGCCATTAATGTAGTCATTAAAATCCAGTCTTTTATTTGCCTACATTCTGCTTTTTACCCTCTTGAAAACGTGAAGCTATCCCAGTCATCTGTAGAGTTTCCATTTTCTGTTTCCTGTTTAATACAAGCATTGGCCAAGAAAGGAAAAAGTTATAAATTAAGTCCTTACATTGGCTTTATGTCTTTATTTAAGTATGTAAACATTCTTTTTTATTCTACAAGTGTTTTAAAAGCTTGTAATACATTCATACACACATATTTGTAATTTATATATATTGTGAAGAAAAATGTTTAAAGACCTGTTGTGACATTATAAATTGTAGGACATTACGGGGCTGTGCTGAAGATTTGCAGGGCTTGTTTCATATACAGCTAGGTACCATTTTAAAAAGGTATTTTCCTCAGATAACTTTCAGAGTTAGGCTGATACCAGGTGACTTGTGGTAGTAGGTTTACGACCTCAAAACCATTTTATTTTAGATGTAACAAAGCTCCTCTGCATTAAGAGTACACAAGACTACTAGACTATGGATTAGTAAATGTATTTCAAGGAAAACTTAATAATTGCATTTTTACATTTGGCTGCTTTTTTTGGGAAGCCTTTCGCATTTGCTAACACTGTTGCCTTCTGTTTGTCCTGTAATAGATTTTGACCGACCTAGTGATCATGAAGAAGCTTTCGCTAGAGATCTTTCAGAATTTCCTTCTTTAGAAAATGGTGCCGGAACAAACGATGACGATGACTCGAGTATCGGTATGCCCATCCAGCAAAAACAAAAAAAAGAACAAACATATTTGAAGGTGGATCACGCTCCCAGACAGAGTAAAGAGAGACCGTCCACTGCAGGGCTCTCCTTGCCTTTGACCAGTGACCAAACCTTTAATTTAATGAGTGGAATTGCTGGGGATGTCATCGCAGCCGCGGTGTCTGCTGCCATCAAAGACCAGTTGCAGTCCGCACAGCAAGCTCCCTCACATGCAGTGCCCAGTTTGAGCGAGGAGACAGACACAGAGGAAGCCGATGATTTTGAACTGCTTGACCAGTCAGAGCTTGAGCAGATTGAGAAAGAATTGGGACTTTCACAAGGCCAAGAAGCAGAAGCACAGGAAAAGAAAAAGTCTTCAGGCTTCCTTTCAAATCTGCTTGGAAGTCAATAACCTAGAAATTGCAGCTGGTAACATAGAAGAAATTAAACATAAAACACACACACACAAAAAAATCAAATGCAAAAAAAAAAAAAAAGGAGAATTCTGAGCTGTAAGCTTGAACTATCCCTTTAGATGTATTGTAATAATTTCCCTTATGCAGAGTGAATTAACTGGATAAGTATCAGCTGATACTAATAGTTTAATGTTTCTGGTAGTTTTACCTCAATGTAATAGCATGGAAATGAATTATCTATCCACTGTTTGGTTGCAGATGAGTGTTGGAGGTCAGTTGTTCAAAAGTGTTGAGGGAGAGGATTTTTTTATCTTTTTTTGCCAACCATGTATTTTGGGGTCCTGAGCCAAATTTTCAACATTGGCAGTTTACTCTTGGTTGCCAACCATGTAATACAATTGATGATTCACACAGTGAGGGTCAGTTATCAGAGGATTGCAATGAGATTAACTAAATCTCACCTCCTTCAATCATACCGACAAGTATGAATCCCTGCAGTTAGCATTATGAATAGTGCACCTACTATATATGAAACACACATTAACCAGCACAACTCTAGTTTAAGTATGTGTGCGACACTATCAAAGAACTTGATTTCATACTTAAAACCTTTGAATTATTTTGGATATGGTGATGCATTTCCAAGTTTTTTGCTGTTTTAGGCTTGTAGAGTTGTAAAGTGGCATGCTATTTGACTGACCACCTGCTGTGTTCCTTGACAGAGTCTGGTCCTTGGCAGTATTGCCCATGTAAAGTCAGCCAACACATTTTCGTATTTAAGAGTTAATATCATGTAAACCGAACAACCTTTTTGGGAGCAGGTGAGGGTAGTTATTGTTTTGAATAGAGGTTAGAGGTAAAAAATATAAATAAAGGCTTTTTTGATGCCACTCCCTTAACTCAAGATTCTGTGGGGTCTGGGTTTCTTTTTTTCCCCCAGAACAGCTGCCATCACTTGCAACAAAAGTTGTGTTGCAAGCTGAATATTTTAAGATACTTAAAAGTATTCAGTGAGGTTATTTGCTATAGGAGACACTCAGAATCTTCTTCTTGGCATGTAATTTAAAACAAAGAAAAGTTTATTTGCCAGTTTAAACTCCACACGTGCTGAGTGAGTGGCATGGGATCTTAAGCAGGTAACTTATTTAACTTTTTCTAGAGCTTTTTTGTTCACCTGTGACAAAATTGAATTGTAATACCAAGCAATAGTAATCAAAGAAATAGGAAGAAGTAAAGCTAGGTTTTTTTTAATGTGATGTAAACCATTAGCAAAGTTGAGGGACCATGTCAGCTGCTACTACTACTACTCCTCAAGTGATTTTCCATTTGCTGGCATTTGAAGAGGTGAATACTGTCATCTAGGACCCTCAGAAAGTACAGCAACAGATTATAAAAATCTTCCACTAACATATATGTGTAGGTAAACCTGTGTTTAAAGTTAACTCCATTTTAATTTTTTTTTCCTTTTGAGGTGAAAAAATAGGCAGATGGCCAAAAAGAGTGTAGCAAAAGGAAAGATGCTGAGAATTTTTGACCCTAGCTTTATCGTTGCTTGTGCATTTGTGTCAGTAATGCATATTGACCGTGTTTGCTGTCCTTTACCAGTAAAAATGTGAGCCTGTGCCTTCATTATCAAATTCATTACAAAGTAAGTGGATGCTGGATATAGATCCCATGAGATGCAGCTTTGCAACATCTTTAACGTCAAAAGCGAGTTCCTGGAAATGATTAAAAAACCATGGCCACATCACTTCCACAGCGCTGGTTGCTAAGTTTCCTTTTCAGCTTCCCTCAGCCTGTCCATCCCATTTGGAGAAAAAAAAAAAAAAAAAACAACCAAAAATAAAAGAAGCTTTTGCTGGGAAATCAGTAAGTTTAAAGGCCATTTAAATTTCTCAGATGAGTTAAAAGCCTCGTTTCCTTGCTGCATGTTTAGGACAATCTATACAGTTAGAAGAGTACAGCTTCCAAGTTGCTGATGACACTTTGTAGGACACCCAAACAAACGTGTGCTTCCTTGTACAGGAGTACTGGTGCCAGGCGGGGAAATGGGCTACGGGATGGGGAGAGGTGGGAGGGAGCCGTCCTTCACAGGCTTTTCTGGAGCGGATTGATGGGGCGGACTAACTGGCTGTCAATGGCGGCATTGTAACAGCATGCACTTTATTGTTGTTTTATGAAGAATAGTTGTGGTTTATAAAAGTAAGAAATGCAGGGGCACTCTTCTAGAATAATAGATTAGATCAAGAAGGAAAAGCAGTTGGAAGAGTTTCTAGGACTTTTTGTAAATGATCCATTTTCTGGTTTCAAGATATAAAAATAGATCGATTTTTCTCTGGAAGAGAAACAGAAAGAAAAACAAACAAAGAAAAAACAAAACCTGAACAAGCAAATCATTAAAGCTGAGGGGCATAATTGGTTATATGAGTGTCTTTAGAATTTTATTTTTCTGTTCTCATGGTAGTTGATTACATTCAAGGCCCTAAATACTGTGTAAAGGGAGGCAGGTGATTCTGTATCATTTAATATTCTTCCTCAGGTAGTGAAAAGATGCTTAGTTTTCTGCAGGAAATTACCTTTTCCCTCCCAAACAACCGCATGTAAGAAACACTTTGCTCTAACACAATACATTCCACTGCCAGCAGTTTGACAGCAGAACACAAAGAAAATGTTTCTCTCCTTTGAGATCCCTTCCACACTGCCTTCGTTTGGAAATCCCTCAAGAAACCTTCATTTCACTGTACTCTAAGAGCAGCCACAAAATAGGTATTTAAAAATTCCCAGCACAACGGTCCACAGCATCTTTCCTACTGACCACTGGTCATCACCTTCCCATCTTCCAAAACTGAATACATGGCCAGGAAGAATGGCAAGCGAGTATGAGGTAGCGTGTAGCTTTGAAACATGCATTTATTCCATGGAAAGCCTGCCTCCTTGCAATTTCCAGTCAAAAGCCCGTACAGCCAGCATGGAGGGCGCAGACAGAGTGTGGACACGTGAGCAAGTGCCCACGGGGTAACGCAGGGTACAGTCTTGCCATGGGATCAGTACTGCCCGTGTTACCTGCTATGTGCTTACCCGGTAGTAAATTAAGGATGCCCTGTATTTTTGCAGTGGCATGGTTAAAGCGCTCACCCTCCCTAGCAGTAGCTTCTTCACACATCCCTGCTGGAAGAAAACGATGTGTGACAAGACAGGATCCGTGGGTGCAGTTCAGTCCTTCCTACTCAGAAAATTTCCCTTGCGTTAGTACATCTGAGTGAGGCGGAGCGATCACCGTTTGATCGGTGGCCTTAGATGTGTCAAATCCAGTGTAACAGCACCTATTTTCATCACACAGGGCTTTTCATGTGTATGTACATGTGTATGTACTATGCACCTACTTACCATTCTTCGTTTGTTCGTGAAAAAAAAAAAATTATTCTATGCAGAGGAGGGGAAATAATTTTAACCCACGGTAAGAGGATCTGAGGAAATACGCAGTTTACTTGTTTTTTGTTCATTTCGCACTTTTCCCAGGCGGTTTAAGCCTTCTGAACAAATTCCCTGCAGTCTCCATGTCTGTTCTCAGCACACAAGCAGCATCACAGCCTGTGACCACCACCTAGCCGGGTAACCAGAAACTGGAAAATTACAAAATGTCTACATTTAAAATATTTTGCAGCACTTTACCGAGCCTGATTACTATTTTGTAAACATGGAATTATTATATTGATTGTTTGTAAAACCATTTAATAAATATGTGTTAGTTTTTACCTTTCATCTTATCTAATTGTATGTTTGTTCCCAGAATAGGGGGGAAAAAACAGTCAACCAACCAAGAAACGAACCCTTTGGTGGTTTCTGCCGCTCCCTTGTTTACTCCCGTCCTCAGCCCGGCGGGACTCGCGCCCCGTAAACGCTGATCCCGGCTCTGGGCCGCGGGCCTGACAACGTGAAGTTACCTCCCAGGAGCAGAACCGGGGCTGCCCGCTCTGAAGGAGAGGCAGTTTCCAGGCGGACAGGGCGGGGGGCAGCAGGAGGGGACA